GATGCAGCATCCACATTTGGAGGTCGGAGGCCTATATCAGCACAGCGACTACGGATCCCAGGTGTTTCAGCTGTTGGAGCTGAACGACACGTCGGCGAAGTAGCTTGGTAGTTGATTTGAACTTGAATTGCATGATGTACTGCATGCTTGAGCATGGACTGCTTGCATACTGCATGAAAGCATGCACATGATGTTGCATGTTGTTTGTGCAGGTTTGAACATCGGCCCCTAATGCAAGATGCATGGACAGTGGCCATTGCACTGTCCGATGACCTGAAGCAGTGGAAGAAAACGAAGAAGGCGATTGTGCAGGTAGTGGACCAGGCGGCTTTGTCGAAGTACCTCGTGGAGAACAACTCGGCTGCTGGTGAGGCCATTGACATGCAGCGAATGCAGATCCTGCTCTACGACACGTTCGTGAATCTCCCGGAGGTCGATGGCTTCAGCTTCGTGAGCCCGCCCACGGGCCTTTGTGCCACGATTAACATCCCGAAGGGCAAGCTCAAACTCATCGCTTATGGTGATTTGAAACGAGATGATGGCAAGCCTGGCCACAAGGTCTCGGGATATGCTTTGAGCCCGCCAAAGGCTGTCGGTGATATGGATAATGTCACTGCTACGTCGGTGCTCGTACCGTTCTGGTACGTGAAGCCATCGATGGATGCTGAGGCCGTTAACATGCAGCTGACCAATGCTAAGCATGGGGGTCTGGCAATCCCTTGCTACACCAATTCGAGATCTATCAGAAAGGGGGAACTCCTGTTGCATGCAGCTGAAGCTTTGCTTGCTAAGGAAGCCTCCAAGGCTGCTCCCAAGAAGAGGAAAGCAAGCTAGGAACATGCACAGGCACCAGCTATAAGCTGTATATAGAAGCACCATGTGGTTGCAGGATTGAACTGCAAATTTTGCTCCATGGATTGAGCTATGCATTTCAGAATGCTTGACAAAAGTTTGAAGGCTGCTTAGCGACTTGTGTGGATGCAGACATGGATTGCACGTGCACATCATATAGCATGGCATGCCAGCATTGATTGCAATTTGCATGAAGCATCTTCTGCTGACCGTAGCCAGATAGTAAAGCTTGATTTGTGAGAGCACCATGTCGGATGCTGAGTCGCCTGACAACGAGTTCTCCATCGAGAAGATTTTTCAGGTGAAACACAAGGGGCATGTGATCACCTTGCCGTCCGACTTGGTTGTGCAAGATGGCGAGCAGCACTTCGTGAAGATCATTGGCAGCCACCGTTCAATTTGCAAACTAGTTTGCCCTTGCACATCTATGGCTACCAAGAACATGTCCATCGCCGGCAGTGCCAACTTGAAGACCTTGCTAGAGTTGCTCTGCAAAGAGTTCAGCCCCAAGCAGACCAAGGATGCAGGACCCGACTTGTTCGACGACAACAAGGAGCCACAGAAGGCCAGCAAGAAAAGAAAGCTTAGTGCAGTCTTGCCTTGCACAATCAAAACTGTCACTTTGCCGAATGGCAAAGAAGCATGTTTCATGATGTCTTCACTGAAGTCCTCTCCGGCTGTGTTGTTGCAGGAGCCAGACATGGTTAATCTTATAGAGTATTTGGCTGAGGATTGTGATTCATGTGCTTGTTCCAGCCGGAGGGGCTATCATGCTACTGGTAAATTTGCCAAGCAGAAGAAATAGTTTTCCGAAAAGCAGGGCATGCAAGGATTGCCTGCTTTGAACCTGTCGGCTGCAGGGGTTCGTGTCGACGGGACAAAACAAGCTTCTTGCCACGTGTGGTTCAATTGGCAACTTCTTGTGGAGCCGGTTCGGCTGCTTGTTGCATGTTCTTGAACACCGTGTGCTCACCCCATGCATATTCACATGTACTATATATAGAGCCAGTTGGGCTGCTTGTTGTTTGTTGCTGAGCCAGTTGGGCTGCATGCATGCATGCATGGCATGGCATGACATGTTGCATGGTCCTGTGCATCAGCCAAGGAATGTCCTCGACATCCTGGTTGGCCCTTGGGTGCTGCAGAACGTCGAGGTCAATGATGGCTTGATTCTCAAGAAGCCCGGGTCTCACTGGTATATGTTCTGGTCGAACCAGACCGGGTCCTACCTCGTCGCCGACCACATCGCCGATGAGTCAGTTGCCGGCTGTTGGGATGGTGTGGAAGTGGTGTGCAGCATCGAGGGTGGCGGTGAACGGCGAAGACCAGTGGGATCGGTCTTTTCGCCATGGTGGAATCGTGGTCGCTCGGGAATCGTGCGAGTACGAGGCCAGGGGGCTTGCACCTTTATGAAAGAGTGCATACAGGAGCTGCTCTTCCAGAAGAAAGTCTTGGAGGATGAGCTGCAGCAGGTGAAGCTGCACAATGAGTCGCTGCAGCTGGAGCTTCAAGATGCATCCAAGAGGAGGCGAGTGGGCGAGGCCAGGATGATATCGAAACATTTGGTATCAACCCAAAACTCTCAATTTTTGTAAAACCCCATAACCCCTATATGTAAACCCGGGTTTTCGGAGGTGAACCCTCCGCCGGCACCACGGCCTATGGGACCGTCCCCACCGGCACCACCACGTCCTCCAGCAGGTGGTGCAAAGGGCTCGCGAGGCCTCGTGGGTTCCTGGCAGAGTCACCATGGTGGGTGGAAGCCCAAAGCGGTGGCCATGGCTGGAGCAGCTTTGGTGCACAGTTGCATGCATGGCTTGCATTCATGTCATGTGAACACAATGCATGGGTTGCATTCATGTGCATGGTTGCATTCATGCCATATGAACACATGCATGTACATGGGTTGCATTCATGTGAATACAAAACCCAGGCGACTTGAAAGCATGCATGCAGGCTTCATGTTGGTTGATGGGAGCTATATAGCTACATATGCACGAACACGTTTCGTGCAAAAATGTATGAAACAGCTTGCAATGCAGTGGCCCAGCCCAGGCAGTGATCATGAACGACCACGACAGGCTGAACTACCTGGTGGACAAGTGCCTTTCCGAAACCATGGTGTTGCCGGTTGTGCACATGAGCCCCAAAAGCCAAAGCAACAGCACGTCAACTTCCCAAACCACCAAGCCCTATAACAGTGTGTTTCCCGGTGCAAGGAACCCATAAGCTTCAGATTCGGATTCCTAGATAAGCCTAGGTCTTTAGTCTCCGATACACCTAGAGGGCAGGAATAAAAGCGCATAGAGGTCTTGTTTTCCCTATATGGAACCCATATAGCCGGCAACCTGGCCGAGCCAAGAGCCGGCAACATACATACACCCTAGAAAGGATAATGAACCGTGGATACACACCCACACACCCTAAACCCACAACCCCTAACCCTGAACCCCAAACCCTGAACCCACATCAGCAAACCAAA